ATATTATTTCTTACACGATCAGCCCAGCCGGTTCTGCCTGACTCGCAGGACGATGGTGCTGTTGCTCCAATTGCCCTTGGCGCTGATGAACTGGAGGTACATGTCATGGAATTTCTGGGTCCGGTTGGAGCCTTATAGGTCTTCTTCTTAGGGTTTTGGGCAGTTTAGGCTTCGGTGGCTTGTTAGGGTTAGGGGGGTCTCGGCTTGAGTGGTTTAGGGTTTAGGGGCTCAGGGTTTAGGGGTTTAGAGTTTGGGGTTTAAGGATACTCTAGCTATATAGCTTCGAACCCTGAGCCCTATAGTCTATACCCCCCCTAAACCTTAACCCTCAACCTTATACTGAATATCCTGCTGAACCTTTCAAATCTGTATCCCTATTCCGTAAGCAATACATGCTTAAATCGAAGGGCTGGTGTCCGCTTTCTTGAACTCCTCCTTGACAGCATCTGGGGCCTTCGGACCTTACAAGATTTTAACAGGCTTTGGGGATTTGTTGCGAGGTGGTCTACATATATTACGTCCCTGGTGCTGCTGCTGCTACTGCTGCATGTATCTGGGGACCCTGCTTCGAATCGATCTGTAAAATCTGGAAAACAAAGCTCCGGCTGATAGCTGCTGCCCATGCTTATCGAACCGCCACGAACTGTCGGAACCCGTGGGACTCGGCTTGGACGGACTAGTGGCCGGCTTTCTAGGCGATGGAGGCGGTTTCAGGCTCTTCTGGGGTGTTGCTACATTATTCAAATGGATTTCCAGCTCCCTCACCACAGGGTCCGGCTGCTGCGTAGGCTGCTTCACATTCACCGGATCCGGATTCTGGGCCTGCGGGAGCTTTGTCTCCGGGTCAATCGCTGCCTGCAAGCCCTGCTGCTGTGTTTCCATGGGAATCGCTGCCTGCAAGCCCTGCTGCTGTGTTTCCATGGGAATCGCTGCCTGCAAGCCCTGCTGCTGTGTTTCCACGGGAATCGCTGCCTGCAAGCCCTGCTGCTGTGTTTCCACGGGAATCGCTGCCTGCACTTGCTCCTGTGTCTCCACTGCCTGCTGTGTCTGCTCGGGAATCGCTGCCTGCTGTGTACTCTCCACGGGAATCACAGGCTGCACTTGCTCCTGTGTCTCCACTGCCTGCTGTGTGTCCATGGGAATCGCTGCCTGCATTTGCGTCTCCACGGGAATCGCTGCCTGCAAGCCGGCCTGCTGCTGTGTCTCGACGGGCCCGGGATTCGATGCCTGCTCGCCATCCGGCTGTGTCTCTGGAACCGTCGCCATCTCCAACGGAATCGTTGCCTGGGATGCTATAGTGCTAGCGTAGAACTGGCTTTAGGGTCATAGGGTTTAGGGTTTTGGGCTTAGGGTTTAAAGGGGGGGGGGGGTAGCCTAAAGTATTTCCTTAAATCTGATAAATAGTCAAGTCCTCGTTAGGGCTACCTCGAGGGAGGCCGTAGGGTTTAGGGGATATGTGTATACATATACATATATAGTCAAATGTATATATATAAATATATAAGTATAATATACATATATATATATACACACACATGTACCTATAGCTATATTATACATATATATAAATATGTATATATAAATATGTATATACTGCTTGTATAGGTCTAGATGCTAGTATACACATGTGCATGGTCTAGGTGTGTGTGGGGGCTTCAGCATTTAAGGTTAAAGGTAGCTATATTTGTATACATATATAAGTCATTCCAGCACACATGTATTTATGTCATATATATATATACATACAATAGCAGCAGGCCTGCTCATCCGGAGTCGCAGCTGGACCCGAGGGGTCCTGAGGATGGGGTTATTACTAATATTCTTATGTAACTAAAGCTCGTATTCTCTACTACGGTACATAGTGATCGTGGTATGGGATGGATCGTGTTGTTGATGCAGCACTAACTGATTTTAAGATGCAACCTCAATGGCCACAGAACCGGTCCTCGTCCAGCTCTAGGGCGCTCTGGGTGCGGCCACCTGGCAACTGCAAGGTCGTCTGCGTGTCGAGGGTTCGGAGCTCCTTGTCAAGGTCTTTCTTGCAATCATCCGGCGGCTGGATCAATTTCGCCTCTCGATCCAGCTCCTCCTCCGTTGTGGCCGGTCGTCGAAGTAGTCCCTTCACTTCAGAAGGGTCGAAGCTTTTGGAGGGGCTTGGTTCCGAAGTCTGACTAACATCGCTCCATCCCCGGCCCCATGCGGCATTGCCACAGCCGTAGCCATGGTCCCACCAGGCTGAGCGGCCCCAGCCCCAAGATGCATCGCTCCACCCTGACCAAGACCAGGGCTCCTGCCAGCTCTGTGTCGCCTGCCAACTCTGGGTCGCATACTCGGCCGTGCCATCATGCAACTTCTCCACCGACATGGGCTCCGGCGACTTTGCTGGTGTGCCCTTGCATCGCGAAGTCGGGGTCGCTGAAGGCGGTGGCTGCGACCCCGTATCAGCAAAGCTCCAGCCTTATGGTGCGATCGATCGGATACCACTAGCGGCACATAATGCCGTAAAGAGACTCCTTCTCGGAGCACGGTCCGGCGTCCCAGGGATAGGCGGCTTCCGGGCAATCCTCCGAAAACATAGACGACTATAGTAGTAGTAGTAGTAGTAG